AAGCAGAACAACCCAGTGGTAACTAGGTCTTGGTAATAGTCATAGAGCTGTTGGCAGCCCCTTGTAGAAGGAAAAGAGCAGCTTTACTGACCTCATCTGAGAATGCATCCATTACCCCACATCCCCCGTTTCTCTCCCCCATCTGCAAGTGATTCTGCAAGATGTTAGAGTATATATGTATGAATGAGGTGACATCTGCCTGGAAGTAGAGCTCCATGATACAGCTTTCATGGGGTCATCATCATGATAGGGTAGAACTTTGGGGTGATATAGCTTTTGAGGGTCACACATGCTCCTGTAACCCCTCACCTATGCTTTGTAAGTAAGCTTAATAAGCTCACTGGTTCACCAAGTCGGATTTTGGTGGAATGGTTATTCTGGTCTGCTTTCAGTGCTCTACCTGGAGTGAAAAGACTTTTGTTCACATTTCCCCAGGAAACACTCACAGGACAGGTAGGGCTTCTGTGTAAAAATGATGAGATGACAACCATTTGGAACTGTTTCTATTAATTGTTTGCATTTAAAAGCCAATTTTTTTCAATGTAGTAAGCTATTTAAATACATATTTAATTGAAAATTTAACCATTAAAGCTATATTCACTGATGGGGTTTTCACTGGTGAAGTCAGCATTTTGAATGATCTAGTCCTTTGAAAAGATGGCAGACGCAGGAAGGTTTCCTGATTTTCTAGTGGAAATCACTGACAGGAAAACTGAGGTGGCACAAGGTGTTAGCCACAAACCCTCTAGCTGTCTTCCCCCTCTCCCAGAAACCAGAGTACGCCCCCCCCCACTCCATCTTCAGCTCTTTCTCTGGAACAGAGCATTGACAAAATGTGCTGTAACCTCAGAGCTCTTAACAAAGAGTTCAGTCGTCTCCTTCTTAACTTAAGCGGGGTAAGCCCTAGACCAAGGACAATCTTGAATTACAATTTTACTTAATGCCTTCCTGCCTTGTGACTTCTGGCATGTAGGCTAGGCCAGGCTAGTTTATGTGGCATGGAACTTGCTCACCCATGCCCTGAAAACCTGTAAGAGTCAGAAATCCCCTTGGTCTTATGGATTTGAAGGGAAGGGTCTCCCTTCAAGGCCCTTTTATGATTGCATTTGCTAGGACGCTGTATCTCTCCTATATTCTGAGAACTGAAGGGTATCTTTTCCTTCAAAACCTTCATCATCCTATACACAGTACCTCTACCTTCCAAGGCTTTCCTACTCAAAGGCTAGACCATGGCTGTCCATGGTCCAGAGCCTCTCTCTCCTAATAAAGCTCATCGAAAGGGTAATTTTGTGCCAGCTCTTTTTTTCAAACTTGAATTCTTTTTGGGTTATAACAGATGGCACCCTCCCAGTGCGATGGGAGGGTGAGGAGACAGAGCAGAAGAGATGGGGCAGTAACAAAGGCAAGCTCAGTTTCCTCTACATTTGTGAGTGTTCTCCCACTAGCAGACGGGGAAGGTACGATAGCTCATACCTGACCACCTCTGCTGAAGCACACCTGATCGATTGCCCATGGTGTAAATAAGACTCTGTACGAGTCCAACACTGTTCTGGCTTCGGGCTTTGTTGGTCTAGTAACTTCTACCTAGGCTGGCTTTTCTTTGGTTTTCTCCAATCTAAATGGTAGCACTTCTTCAAATTCTGCTCAAAGTTGGCCTTCTGACGGCTCCAGTTCTAGAATTATCTCCTCAAGTTCATAATACTATCTCCACTAATCTCCTGACATTGGAGATTTTATTCCAACATGAATTTCCAACTGCGTTGCTTTCTCATTTTAAGCTATAACTCATGTATCTTAGCACATGGAGCTGAATGTATTCTCAGTCCTCCTGAATGTAAACTCAACGGTGTGGGGATTCTCATAGTGCTGAGAATGTGACAGTTGCCCAACTATATATTAAGTGAATTGATTAAAGCTGATAAGAGACCTTGCATTAGCGAGACGGTCACACATGCATTTTGGAGTCTATACGTGCTTTGATAGCCAAGGTATTTTTACCTAACAAAGTGAAAATATTTGGCAGCTAAAAAGTGACAGTTTGGTCAAAAACGCATGGCTCATGAGGCCACAGGTACTAGGGAGGAGCCTACTACTGTTGTTAAACTGCCTTCTACATATTTATGTTTACACCTACACATTGGTGCCGCCCTCAGCCTTGGCCAGAGAAGCTTCTTTCTGCAGAGGGCACCATTAATGCAGACTCATAACTGATCAAATTGCTGAGAATAAGTATTTATTGAGCATTTAGCTCCAAATGGGATTGCTATATCAACACCCCTACCTCCATAGCTCAGGAACATGGCAGAAGTGGGGAGAAAAGAATGTAGGAGCCAGAGGACAGGGAGGAGTGATGTGAAACTGTCTTTGAGGTATGACAAGGCCATTGGATCCATGAACTCACTGCAGCTATGATTACCTGCCCAAGATCAAGTCAACAAGATCAATTGATGTTCCACAAGGTGGTACTGATTGGACTCAATGAATTATTAACAAAAAGGGAAGAGGACACAAAAGGAAAGTGTTGGGGTACCTGGGAGGAGTGAGAGAGGGAGCTGGGGGTATGTGTGATCATGATGCAGTGTTTACATGCATGAAAATTTTAAAGAAAAAAAGATATTCTCAATTTAAAAAGAAATGGCATTTTGATCTCTTTAGAATCAAAGAAATTATACAATTGGAAATTTGCAAGAATCTCCATTTAGAAGAGATGCTAATTCCATATGCCATGATGGCTATTCTCTCCCTGTCTCTCTCTCTGTCTCCCTCTCTGTCTCTGTCTCTCCTTGTCTCTCTCTCTGTCTCCCCTCTGTTTCTCTCTCTCTGTCTGTCTGTCTCTCTGTCTCTGTCTGTCTCTCTCTGTCTCTGTCTCTCTCTCTCTCTCTCTCTCTCTTTGTATATACAGGCTAGAGGTCGAGATTAGGTGTCTTCCTCAATCACATTCCACCTTATTTTTTTGAGACAGGGTCTCTCACTTAACCTGGAGCTTGCCAGTTAGGCTAGGCTGCCTGGCCAGTGAGCCTATCCATTCATCTCCATCTCCCCATCACTGGAATTACAAATGCATGCCTCCCTCATCTAACTTTTATCTAAGTGCTGGGGACTGAACTTAGGTCCTCATGTGTACACAACAGCACTACCTGATGAGCCACGTCCTCAGCCCCCAGTTGGGAATTTTCAAAAGGCTCAGTCCAGATGAAGGGCCAACTCCGTATGTCCTGATGGCTCTGCATTTGCTCTCAGTGAGCAGTAGTGATGGCTGAGGGGCCTGTGCTAGTCCATTTTCTATTGCTAATAATATAATACTACAGACTGATTTATAAAGAGCTTTAATTTGGTGATTCACAGTTCTGGTCCAAGGAGGCTATAACTGGTGATGACCGTCTTCCTTAGTTCCCAGGTAGTATACTGTATCACAGGATCTGACTAGGGATCTGTGACCCAAGCTAACTTGCTTTTCTGGCTGATCCAGTCCTAAGATCATACATAATCCATTAACCTATTAATTTCATGAATCCATCAATCCATTCAGATAGACAGAACCTTAATCACTTCTTTTTTTAAAAAAAAATTGTTGTATTTATGTGTCTGTGTGAGTATGCACCATGTGTGTGCCTGTGACAATACAGGCCAGAAGAGGGTGTTGATCCCCTGGAGCTGGAGTTACAGGCAGTTGTGAGCTACCCAGCGTGGGCGCTGGGAACTGAACCCAGGTCCTCTGGCAGAGCAACAAGCACTCTGAACCTCTGAGCTGTCACTCCAGTGCGACCCATCCTGCAACCACTTCTTCAAGGTCCCGCCTTAGAATGCCTCCTAATGGGAGTTCAGTTCCCACCAAAACTTTTGGAGGAATAAACCACATCCAAAGCATAGCAGAGAGCTGGGGATGTGGTCTATGTAGAAACTTGCCTAGCACGCCCAAGAGCTTGGACTCCCAGTATCACAAAAGGTAAATAAACAGACAAAACAGTAACGAAACCAACGATAGCCGAGTTGGTATATTCCTGAATTGGATGGAGGGCATGATTCTATAAGCCTTTCACCAGAAAGGGCTTCAGTCAGGAATATGAAATAAATAATAACTAGAAATATAAAAGATGATCATTAGCATTGCACCTTGGCTCTGAATTAGACCGAACCATCTAAAACTGCAGATTTTTGCCCGTTTTTAAACTGTAAAACAATTTCCATACATGATTCACCCTGATATTAATCCTCGTAAAGTCAAACACATAGCTCTGATTTCCTTCCAGGGTGTGTTCACATTATGGTTCTAAGTGTGTTTGGCTTGAAATTTCCCTTTCACATGGCAAACCAGAACAATTTTAGTAATGACAGAATGTCAACTAGGAAACACCTCAAACTTAACCTTATAAGGCATCTGTCTATTTAAAAGTCTTCACTCTGTTTATTACTACTTAGAAATCCTTTCTTAGTAACTCCTGGTACACCAATGAATTTTTCTTTTTATTAATTTCATGCATGCAGTAGTGTTCTTTGATCAAGTCCACCCCCCATTCCCTCCCCTCCAGTGTCTCCTTATCTCCCCTCACTATCCCCCCCGCCCCGAGTTTAATGTTTTGTCTTTAAAAACACAATATTTTTAAACCTATGGTATCCACTTAGTGCTGCCAGTATGTGCATGGGTGTAGGGCCATCTACTGGAGCGTGTGTAGTTTCTCAGGGCCCTTATATCTAAAGAAAACTGACTCCCTAAGTCAAAACCGTTTTTGAAGCTATATTCTCTCATGGATAAGATCGTTTCAGATGGAGGGACTGCATTTCTAATAGGCATTCTTCCCAGCTCTGACTTCTACAGTGTAGTTTCTTTATAAAATGGAGGAGTTGGTCCTCTTTCACTGTCTAATTTGTGGGCTTGGCATATTATGCTTCTGAAAGGATCGTGTGCCTTCTTCCGCCCAGCCCCCTCCACACACAGGAAAGACACTGTTTGCCCCGTCTCCTTCCTCGGAGTGAAAATGAAGAAGACAGGATTCACTCACCTTTTCTTTACAGGGGGAGATAACAGTTCAACAGCACCACAGAAGTGGCCTGCTGGAGATCACTTCCTGGGGCGATTGCATCATGGAAGAATTTGTCAGCCCCAGTGCAGACGTCCTCCATTCCTATGATTTGTCATCGGGCTAGGAATGAGGAGTTTTGAGTTCTAATCCAAATTATGACCGTGACTCATGGGACGCTTATTTACTGAACTTTCAACCTGTAATAATAACGTGGAAGCTCTTCTTTGCTCCCGCTTTGTATTTATGAGACTTAGCCAGTTTATCAGATTCCTTACCATGTGTCCAATTCCTCAAGCTCTCTGCAAATCTCCTTTTGTAGGTTTGTATTACTGTTGCCGTGAAGAATAAGTTGATTCCAGGACAAGGGACTCAGCTGTTCTCTGGGATCCACCAGCTCCTTGGGTGGTGGCCCCTGTCTGAGATGTAGCAACCACCTCCTCAGCAGAGGACTCATTGCACTTTTATTAGCAGAGAAAGAAGTCCAGAATGTTCTTTACAGTCAGTGAATGGGGTCTGCTGCATAACTGAATATGGCCGAGCATCTCCCACTGAGCCAACGCCCCTAGGCGTGGTAGCCATCGAAGACTCAGATCCTTGCTGAGCTGCGGAGGTAAAAATAACATGTATGGGAAGGTTAGAGGGAGATAACTTCTCAGTGGCATAACACTGCCATAGCATGATCGTCCTTTATTTCATCCTTTTTTAAACCACATTTAATTATTTTTTGTCCATGGGTAAATGGATTTCAGCATCACGTATTTTCTGTGTGTATCTTTCTCTCTCTCTCTCTCTCTCTCTCTCTCTCTCTCTCTCTCTCTCTCTCTCTGCCTCTCTGTTTTTTACTTTCTCTCTCTCTCTCTCTCTCTCTCTCTCTCTCTCTCTCTCTCTCTCTCGGCTTATCTGCTTTTTACTGAATTTTTGTGAATTTCATACAATATATCCTTATCATATTTAAACCTCCTCCCCATCTGCACCCCTCTAATAGCTCCACTCCTCCCACCAGATTTCATGTACTCTGTCATATATGTTAATGGCCTATTGAGTCAAGTGAGTGTCCTCAAATGCCCTTCAGTATGCACACATGTACTGGAGCCTGGCTAACCTATCTAGAGTCATACTCTTAAAGAAAACCAACTCTCCCTCTCCTGGTAGCCATCAGTTGCCAATAGTTCCTGAGCTCAGGTTGGAACTTTTTATTCATCTCCCCACTTCTATGCTGGGATTTGTCTGGCTCGAGCCTATGTGGGTCTTCTGTATACCGTTACTGTTGTTCTGAATTCATATGAACAGCTTTCCAGCTGTCTGGAGTCCCTTTTTATTTCTTTTTTAAAAATTTATTCTATTTTTAATCATGTGTATATGGGGGGGGGTATGTGCACACAGGTGTGGATACCTGCAGAGGCCAGAGGCATCGGATCCCCTGGAGATGGAGTCACAGGTAGTCTTGAGCCACCTGACCTGACATGGGTGTGGGGATTCGAACTCAGGTCCTCTGGAAGAGCAGCATGAACTCTTATCTGCTAAGCTGTCTCTTCAGCCCCTTTTTATTTCTTAACCTGTGAAGATTACCTGTGTCATCATGAGGTACAGAAACAGAACAACAGGTTGAAGCACGAGCAAAGCTGTTTGGGGCTGTTTTAATCAGGGGCCAGGCATAAACTCCTAAGAGGAAATATCCATAACTTATCTTAGACAATGATTCCTTAAAGTACATCAAAAGCCCAACTCACAAGAGAAAAAATAATAGAAACTTGGATATCAGTGACACCTAAAGTTTCTACTCTGCAAATGATATTGTGACCAGTATGAAATTATGAGTCACAGACTGAAAACATTTGTAAAACATATCCCAAAAGAATTTATATCCTAAATATGTAAAGATTCTACACTCAATAATAAGAAAAACAATCCACTCACTCTCATACATTGGATAGTGGAAATGTTGATAGGTGTGGCTAACTTGGACAAGAGTTCAACCATTTTAAGAAAGATCAGAAAACATTTAACCCTTCAACCCATCCACTTCCTATGAAGCATTTACCAACGGAAGTGAGAAAATGTATTCACAAAAGAACTTATACATGTGCAGTCATGTGGACTTACACACACACACACAGTCATGTGGACTTACACACAGTCATGTGGACTTATACACATGCAGTCATTTGGACTTATACACATGCAGTCATGTGGTCTTATACACATGCAGTGATGTGGCTTTGCTCATAATCACCAAAATTCAGAAATAGTCAAGTGTCTGTCAACTGGCGGATTGCTAAACGTTGGGAGATCTACATAACAGATTATAAAGGAACAAATAAATTGAAGCAATAAAAAAGCTCATTATTATACGTTACAACTTAGGTAAATTTCAAATGCACCGTGTTAATGAACGAAGTTAATAAGCCCACAGACGGTATAACTCTACTTATGTTTAGGTTAACATTTTTCAGAAAAGCCAGAGAAAAGAGAACTGGTGGATTGAAAAAGAGATCAGTGACAGGCCATATATTAAGTGTGCACAAGACTCTGGGCTCCATCCTCAGCAGAGAGGGGGCGGGGCTTGGCCATGACTACAGGACCATGAGGCTGCTTGTTCGTATCTGGGTGGATCAGGAAGTAGGGAAAGGGGAACGTCAGAATTCACTGTCCTATATCTTGACTGTGGTGCTTCTTGTATGATGAGTTTGTCAGAATTCATAGAGGGGTAACACCAAAATGTATGACGATTACCACATTAGTTATGCTTCTGTTTAGAAGGGGAAATACAATTTCTCTGACTTGGCTACATATTTATAAAATGGGAGCAAGCGACTGTTGCTGATGTATCAATATTATTATTAATGTTCTGTGTTGGTTTTACATACAGCTGTCTTGCTAAACTCATAGTATTTATACAAATTTGTCCATTGATTCTTTCAGACTTTCCCTTTCCTTCATTTCTCTTTGGCAGTATCGATGGTCAAGCTAAGCAAGCACTGGACTACCGAGCTTCAGCCGTCAGCCCCGATTTCAGCCTTTACTGGGGGGATTGGAGGAGATACGGGGTCTTGTTATATAGCAGAGGCTGACTGGGAGCTAACCTCCTCCTGCTTCTACCCCCTGAATGCTGGGATTACAGGCTTTTTCCTCTACCCCTAGTTTTCTTTCCGCTTTTTGATTAAATAATCAAGTAGGTTACAAATAATGACATTTCTTCCCTTCCCTTCCAGTCTTAAAACTTCTTGTATTGCTTAAGACTGCCAAGTCAGTGTTGAATAGAAACTATGGCCATCTGCCTTCGTTTTTTATTCCTAAACTGTGTTAGTCAGATTTGCACGACTGTGACAGCTGTATCTGAGAAAGCTCAACTGAAAGCTTTATTTTAGTTCACAGTTTCAGAGGTTCCGGTACATGGCTGCTAGGCTCTACTGCTGTGGGGCTGAGGTGAGGTCACATGGTGAGAAACTCATGGTAGGATCAAGTTGTTCACATCGTGGTGACTAGAAAGTAAAAGGGGGGAGAGGGAGAGAGAGAGAGAGAGAGAGAGAGAGAGAGAGAGAGAGAGAGAGAAAGACCAGGCTCTCAGTGTGCCCTTCAAGGGTCTCTTGAATGAACTACTTCCCACGTGTCCTAAAGGTTGGACCAGTTCCCAAGGGCGTCACCAGTTTGGGACTAAGCCTTCATCACATGAAGGTTTGAGAGACATTTAAGGCCCAAACCATAAGGATGTTCATATAATTTCAAAACTGCTGGCATGGTGGTGTGTATCTATAATCCTAACACTTAGGAGGCTGAGATAGGAGGATGTTGAGAGTTCCAGGCCAGCCTGGGCTACATTAGCATGGCCAAGGATGGCCTGTTCTACATAAGGAGTCTCAAACAAAAATAGGTTAATAAGTAATTATAAATTTTCAAAACTATATATGACTTTAGTGGGTTTGTTAGAAATCTTTTTTCAAATGAGAGCTTCTTTGTGTTTCTATTCTCAAGACTTATTTCTCCTCTTTTAATGAATACTGATATCTTTACGAATTATTTCCTGCATCTGCCAAAATCATCATATCAATCTGTAATCACCTAAATCGCATGACTTTGTCTTTTTTTAATGACTGCAGCTCCATCACTTAGCTCAAGAATAATTTAAATTAAATATTTGTTGATCTTGTAGATAAGGTTTTTGTACTGAGTTAATAAATAAAGCAATTCATTTTGTAAAAGCTGACAGTTCACACAATTGTCTCAGGCGTCCCTGGCCACGTTCCTAGTTTACATTTTAATGCCTTTCTCTACTAATTGAGAAGCGAGTGCTTTGCTCGGCTCTAGGAGCTTGAAGGTTTATCCTGCAAAGCTTAGGATGTGGCCAGATAGAACAAGAACTTAGTAATACTCAGAGTTTTTTAGTAGGAAGTTTCTTTTTGTAACAGGAGTGTGGGGCAGGTGGCAGCCTGGCTTGGTTTACCAAAACTATCTTGAGAATTTTGTTCTCAAGGGAGATGCTATGTTTAGTGAGTCAAAGTGTGGGCTGTGGACTGAGAAGCCTAAGTTCAAGCCCTGAGTCCAGCAATTAGTGCCTGGTGACCATGGATACATCATTTAATCTCCCTATTTTTGGTTTCATTGTGTCAAAAATATAGACGGAATTAGGTGGCTTTGAGTGCCTGGCACACAACAGACTCTAGTGTTGACTGCTATTTCAGTAGCAGTTGCCTAGGCATAATCTGCAATAGAATAGGTTCCTTCATGAGAGGCCACTTAGAGGATTTTTTTCTGGGTTTTGTTTGGTTTTAAATTTCTATCATGCAGGAAAAATATGTAATTTTTAAAATGTTGCTATAAAGATACAGAACAAAAGAGCCATGACTCACGTCTCACAATTTACACAGTTTATTATTTCATGTTCTGCAATACTTCAGACACTTATATAACTTATCCTCTTCTGGGACCTGTCAGGATGTGACATCAGGAAGATGAGGAGAGTGGTTTTGTGGGAGGCATGAGGTAGGGTAGGGAGAAGACAGGCCTTGTCCCACAGGTGACGCTGTGTAAAGCCATTCCAAGCACAGCCTGGGACACAGCTCTCCTCACCAGAGCTGTTCTCGTGTGGACATTGTTTGAGCCCCTCTCTGCCTGTTGTCACACTCTGGATTTGAATCCCCAGTCCTGCTGGCTTCCAAGTCCCATCAGCTTTTGAAGTCACAGTCGGGATCTCTCCACAGAAGTGGGAATCTATTTTCTCAAATACACTCCTGTCAGTCACCATCCCAAAATATCCAGCTGAGTTCTTAGCCATTGCAGGACAGAAATCATCCACAAGCTCCATCTTCCCATCTCCTGCCCACCTCCCTGAATGTCCCTGCTCTATCTCCCAGTAGTCTTTCGTCTCTTCTAGCCTTTAAGGGCCATTTCCATCTGTGTAGCAAGACCATCCCATCTCCCAGTCTCTGGTCTCTGTGAAGGCCTTTTTTCCATTTTCTAAGTTCTGGGGACGGATCCCAGGGCCTTGCACGCGCCAGGCAAGCACTCCCCACTGAGCCACACCCCAAGCCCAGCAGCAGGAATTTCTCCATCCTTCTGTTCCTCCTCCTCCCTCTCTGAATTCATCAGATGGAGCAAATTTTAGCTTCTTCAAATTTTTGCAAAAGACTTAATAGGCTATTTGCTTAGAAGTACATGATACGTGGAGATGGGATCAAAAGGGCCTTGCACGCGCCAGGCAAGCACTCCCCACTGAGCCACACCCCAAGCCCAGCAGCAGGAATTTCTCCATCCTTCTGTTCCTCCTCCTCCCTCTCTGAATTCATCAGATGGAGCAAATTTTAGCTTCTTCAAATTTTTGCAAAAGGCTTAATAGGCTATTTGCTTAGAAGTACATGATACGTGGAGATGGGATCGAGTCAAGGAGAAGCGGAAGTGAGAGAAAAGCAAATGCTGAATTCCAGCTCAAAGTGGAAAGTCCCGCTACTGTGCTTCTGTCCCACTCTGTGACGGACAGGAAGCTGACATGCGCAGACCGCTGGAGCTGAGCTGGTCCCACCCTCGAGTCAGGTGTCATGTCAGGAAGTCAACACCCTCCCCATGATCTGACCAAATGTCCAACAGCATTTGAAAGGAGTTCCAGGACTTAAGCTTTCAAAACCTAAACTCTGGTATCAGCGTGAATTATCAGCAACAAACCCTCCACTTTGATTTCTAACTTGAAAACGTCAATTTTTGGATGGTCTGTTTGTTTCTTTTGCTGAAACACAAACGCGGCTTGGAAAACAAATTCCAGTCTGAATACACTTTAAGGAAAGGACAATTATTTGACGAAGCAGTGTGTGTCCCTGCGGAAATTATCTATCGAGAGAAACATCAGACTGCGAAGAAAGGAAAAGAACAACACGGTTTTCAGATCCTCCGAGGTTGTGGCTGGGGTGAGGGAACAGCTTATTACACACATGCGTGCTCGGAGGCCATGGACAGCTTGCATTCCAGCGTCTGAGTACCAGGCCCTGCTTTCACAGCTCCCTGTGGTCTGTGGTGTCATGATTCCATTCCACCAACCCACTGAGTCTCACCCCCTCCACGCACAGGCTCTGTCTTCATTAACTGCTCACTATGCCTTTGACATCCCAAACGTTTTCTTTGCCTGTGTGATCTCTCACATTCCCCTTGTTTGCCTCTAAACTCTCAGCCTTCCCTTTGGGGCCAATCCATCTAATGAGTCCTACCAAGAAAACAAAACAAAACGATGCCTCTCTCCGCCCTCATCCCCAACACATCTCTCTTTGAGCCACTCCACCATCTGTTCTTCTCTCCTTGAACATCATCTTCTGCAACCTGCAGCAGCTCCCCCAGAACGTCTTGCCTTTCCTGATCAGGCTGCCTCTTTCCTGATCAGGCTGGCTCTAGGAATAACAAGTGCTGCGCTTCTCCACTCCTGAACTGCACAGTAAGAAGTCATGAGCATTCTAAGGCCACTTATAATCCATAATTTTCCAAACTATGCTTGATTTGAAGCCAGCTTCGTTTCTTGGAGACCCCAGAGCACATTAACTCCTGCTGATACCCACGGTCATCCAGGCAGATGGAAGAAGTCAGTATTTTAGTGCACATGGGTACATTTTTCATTTCCAGAGAATAATTTTATTTGTGCCAACTTTAAAATAATACTGCATTGTCTTTATGGAAGACTTTTCCCTCATAGTGCTATAAATCCCTTTCTTGTCAGTTCATTCATTCTCATAAAAGCCTTCTGAAATAGAGAGCATCCCTTCTTAAAGCATGTGAACGTTCTCACAGGAAGAGAGGGACAACTAAAAGAGAGCGTGTCCTCTACATCTGCACATAGCAAGGGAAACCCAGAAAGGCTAACTCTCCAGAAAGACCACTGGGTACTGTTGGGTGCATTGCACAGTATGCAACTTCAGATCTAATGAGAAAGTTGTCTCCTGGAGTTGAGGGGTAAGCAACCTGTTCGGCCAGATGGAGTGGCCCTGCAGAGGATCTAGTCTGAAATGAAACAGAAACCAGTGCCAGGAACTAAGGAAGAGACAGAAGGAGCTTACTTTAGTCTTTCTCTTCGTCCATTTTCTGTTCCATAACAGAAGACCACAGGCTAGGTAAGTTATGAACAATGCAAGTTTATTGGGCTCGCAGTTCTGGAGGCTGGGAAGACAAGATAAGGGGCTGCATCAGCTCAAGGCTTTCTTGCTGTGTCATAACTTTGTGGAAGGAGTCTCATGGTAAGAGGTTCTGAATTCCCTCCACTCATAATAACTACCTTAATAACAGCCTTGGTCCATTCACGACTTCAGCAACCCCATGACCTAAATGACCCTCAGAGGTTCTGCCTCTCAACACTGCACACCGTGGAGTAAATTTCCAACCCACAACTCTGGGGACTGAGTTCAAATCACAGCAGTCTGCTTGGATGCCCGATCCAAAGAGCACCCTTTGTGCTGGTCGATCTCTTCAGGTTGACAGGTTTCAGAATCATCTAGGAGATACACTTCTGGGTGTATCCATGAGGGCAGCTCAGGAAGAGTTAACTGAGGAGGGAAGACCCACTCTGAACGTGCTGCAGCTGGGGGACCACAGTGACAACAGGCGGAAAGCCAGCTGAGCACCAGCGTTCATCCCGCAGCTTCTGACTGCTGTCACGCTGGAACCAGCTGCCTCGCGTCCCTGCCACCAGGTCTCACCCATCATGATGGACGTATTCTCACCCTTCCTCCCTTAAGTTGCTTGCATCGGGTATTTTCTCACAGCAATAAGGAAAGTAACTAATTCACCCACTCTTTATTTCATTCTTACTCAGGCCACAGGAAGGGGGCAGTTTATCAGGCCTGCCTCCTCAGGGTCTTAACAAAATCCCCATTCCGACAGAAGCTCTATGCCAAGATTTCTTAAAGGGTTGGGCTTTCAGGCCCATCTGTTTGTTGTGGAGCAGCTGTATGAAAAACAGAGGCCACATCCCTGAAAGACCAGGGCTGACATATTTGGCAAAAGTTGAAAAATAAAATTAAAACACACACACACACACACACACACACACACACGCAACACCCACTGTCTCAAGAGGCCTTTAGCAGGAACTTATGAGGCAAAATGTCTTAGTTGTAGACAAGAAAATGCTGAAGAGTTGGCCAGCGATGAGCTGGCCAGGATACATCCACTTCCTGTGGCTACTCCCATGTTTCTCCCACTCTGGCCAGCTTCAACTGTGCAAAACTCCAGTCGGCAAAACTTCACCAGAGCAGCTCCATCGGCATCATATGCTCTGGGCAGCTGCATCCATGGCCCCATTTGCCACTGTAGAACCTTTTGGCAAGTGTTGTTCAAACAAACCACTGAGAAAGATTTGGATAGGAAACACGGGGTTCTAGAAGACAAGGGGGGCAGATTGTGAGGCTGAGGATAAAGAGGAGTTTCCTGCTTCTCAAGAGCAGACAAGAACTGGGGTTGGCTTTACTGTGAGGCAGTGGTTTCAAAGATTGACGTACCGTGGAAGGATATTCAACACTCTAATAAGAACATCCCCTACACGGTGGTGTGAGAACACAAAATCACCTTCACTCTGATGAGAACATCCCCAATGTTTGCTGTACACAAGTGCATTAGTATGTGAAGTCCATTAACCACAGAAGGATATTCAACACTCTAATAAGAACATCCCCTACACGGTGGTGTGAGAATACAAAATCACCTTCACTCTGATGAGAACATCCCCAATGTTTGCTGTACATAAGTGCATTAGTATGTGAAGTCCATTAACCACCACCATTGCTTCCCGTATAAATCAGACTTGTCTTTTAAATAAAATAAAAAAGCAATTGCAAGAAGTCATGCTGAGACACTGCCTTCGGTGAGAGAGGGAAGCATGATTTCTCTGGCCAGCCCACACAAAACCCAGTATTAATATGATGACAGAGAACACGAAGAGGTTTTCAGGAACGAGTCCTACTGCTCAGCTAGGCAAGTTTGCAACGGAGTAAATAGGAAGCCTGGATGACCAGCCTATGGAATGAGAAAATGGGTCTTTGATTCCACTGAGCTGTCCTGTGCAAACAGAAGGTGTGAATGGGTAGGTTAAGGTGGCAAAAAGTCTAATCCAGCCTCCCCACTTTAAAGCACCAACTCTGAGGGCACTCGCATGGAGGGTTACTGTTCCCTAGGCCACGTTGTTCTTAGCCCTCTGGTGACCCAGAAAAATAGGAAATCCCACCCCCATTTAAGGCAGAACTGACTACAGGGGTGACCGAAGTCCGGAGGCACCGAAAGACCCAGAGATTAGCAACATCAGGAAGGGCTTGGGGTGGGGGGTCAGGAGGGCGGGCCTGCCCTTTGGAGCTGGAGCCTGGCAGCAGACCTGACCCCCCAGTTCAGTTGTCAGACAATGACTCTGACACAGAGAACAGGGGGAGGAGTCTCACCCACACCCCCCTCACTCACTCACAGGAGCCTGCCATTGGTACCAGCTGTGTCACAGGAGTCCTGGAAGGGCAGCCTGCGGGAGGAGCCGCCCCCACCATCAGATGCAGAGCAGAGCCGCAGGAGGGCAAGGAATCGATCTGCAGACAAGCAGGCCCAGGCCTGGCACAGCGGACATGCTGGGATCATTTTTTACCTCCACCGCAATGACCTCACCTCACCCTGGGCCAGACCGTGACAAATCAGCTACAAGCCACAAACACTGGCGAATCTCTACCTTATGCTTCAGTCAGCCTGTTAACCCGCTGGGGCTCAAGAACTTTTTCAGACGGTACCTTCGTTATTCCTGCGTGTTAAGAGGCCAAAATATACACAGCCTGGTGTTCACGTTGTCTTCTCAAAGAAGCCTTGGGACTGTTCAGGCTCGTACCCTGTGGATTCCCTGAGGATCTAACTGTGTCTATGTTGAGACAGCAAAACTCTGTCTGCCTTTGATTTTTTAATTGTATCTACAGTCATCTCTGTCAGACCAGATTGATAAGGACAGTAAATCTTCAAGATCCCTAAGCTGCTGCCCCCATGAGAAGCTAAAAATCAGCCCTCCTGTCTGAACAGAACCATCCCTTGGTGTCCGTGGGGGAACTGGTTCTACCACTCTATGCAGATATCAAAATCCACAGGTACTCACGTCCTTCGTGGACGGCAGGATGGTATTTGCACACAACCTCCACGCATCCTTCCATCTATCTTATTTTATTTCTAGAGTACTAGCACCAAATACAATGCAAATGTTCTGTGAACAGCTTTTATACCGTGTTGTGCAGGGGATCGTGACAAGAAGAAAGTTCGGATGCAACATGGTACATGTTCAGTACAGATTTCATTCTGAATGTTCTTTGCCTGGGGATGATCAAATTCAGAACACAGAGATAGATAGAGAGTGTATTGGTTACTTTTGGTTGCTGTGATAAAATACTATGACCTAAGTAACAGGGAAGAAAGAGTGTATTTTGGCTTATGGCTCTAGAGGGAGCGTGCATCGTGGTAGAAAGGCACAGCAGTCACCACCAAGGACAGAAAGTAGACAGTTCACATCCCAACCACACACAGGAAGCAGAGAGAGTAAACTAGAAGGGAGGTACGGCTATAGACTCTTAAAGCCCGCCCCCAGCAATGCACTTCCTCCAGCCGGTCTGTGTGTCCTAAAGATTCAATGACCTCTCCAAACAGCACCATCAACAGGGGACCAAGTGTTGAAATACTTGAGTCTATGGGGGACATTTCTCATTCAAACCACCACACACAGGGTGGGGGACATTTCTCTGAGTTGATGTCTCAAGGTCAGCTGCTAAATTTAACCTTATGAATGCACCTGCTCAGACACTTAGGCTCTCCCTGCCAGCGATGTGGCGTGAGTGTTCTTAGTCCCTTTCTCTTTCTTCATTATACCACAGGAACAAATGAAGGACTGTGGTGTGGAACAAGCAAGGTGGTGTCCGTACAAAGACTTACATTGGTGCCTGGCATGTAAGCAGCCCTTGATGAAGATCACCGCCACAGCTACTGTTGTGCAGGTGAAGACTCTCTTGGTTGCAAATGACCGAAGCCAAGGTCATTTAGCTGGATGGGCTGGATTCAGGAGCATCTGGATCTAGGGGCTCTTCCAAGGTCCTCCCTGATTCTCTCTACATCATCTGGCTCCATAGTTCTCTGACAGATTTCATCACCGAGCTGACAGTCTCTGCAGGATGACAAGGTGCTGAGACATCCTCCCAGCTGAGCAATGACTGGGAAAAGTGATCCTAAGAGCTTCCTGAGAACCCTGGAATGGGGTTTCATTGGTCTGGCTGGATCACACTTCCAGCTCTGAGTTAGTCACTGTGGCTACAGAGTGGAATGCCCTAGTTGGCCAGTCCTGACCCCTGAATCCATTGTAAATGAAGAGTAAGGGAGTGGTGAGTCTCCAAATGGATGTGGAGTCCGAGCTATTAGACCCAGGAGTGGATGCTAGGAAGACAAGCTAAGTCTATTCCAGCAACTCATGTTGCTGTTGTTATCAGTACAATTACTATTTGCTTTGTGCAAGAAGAGGCTAGGGGTACAGTTCAGCGGAAGAGTTCATGTAGCATGTGTGGGGACCTGGGTACAGTCCCCAGCACCGCCCCCCCCCCCAAAGTAGAACCATGGAGGATTATTCTAGTCAACAACTAGGCTGACAGGGAGGTAAGTGGGAAAATCATAGAAAGCTGTTAATAGGGGAAAAAGGAAGAAAATCAAATGAAAGAGTGCTTAATAATAGAGAGGGGGCTGGAGAGATGGCTCAGCAGTTAAGAGCATTGCCTGCTTTTGCAGAGGACTGGGGTTTGGTTCCCAGCATCCACATAGCTGTTAAAAACCATCTGTAACCCCAGTTCCAGGGGATCTGACACCCTCTTCTGGCCTCTGTGAACATTGCATGCCATGGGGTGTGTGTGTGTGTGTGTGTGTGTGTGTGTGTGTGTGTGTGTAAGCAAAACACATACACCTAAAACAAAATATAAATAAAAAAATAATAGAGAAGTAAATAAAGTCAAGCAATGTCCAAAGTGCAAGTAGGTCTAAAGAGATAGATTTTTACATCTTTCAGAATCAAAACCAACCTAAATGGCAGTAAGTAGCATATTTTAGTTGCTAAATTACAAAAACTGACCTGAAGTTGTTTAAGTAAAGCGTAAACAGACACAGATAGCACACACTGTCTGTCGGCACGAGTCCTTGCAGCTGTGAAATAAGCCGGCAAAATTCCCCTCACAGAAGGGCCTGCCCACAACATCTTACTGCAGGCATCATCCGCAGTTATTCTCTACCTAATGATTGTATAGCATTCTGATTATTGTCTCCCCATTTGCCAAGAGAAAGAAGTACATGTCGTGAATGTTGGGTTTCTAGCAGAAAGCTCAGGGGTTACACCCTATAGAGAAACACTGTCCATCTGGCAAGGCCATAGTTTTCTTAAAACTGCTCCGTTTCAGGATAACTAGAATCTATGCTTTCTGTCTTTTCTTTTAAATCATACATAATGATTACACCTTATGGTTTTTGTGTATGAATATATGTGTGTGCATGTGTGTGTTCCTATGTGTGTTTCTTGAGCAGTGGGCCTACCTTAGGATTAACGATGTGCACGACTACGTCAGTACATGGTGCAGTGATACCTTGAGGCCAGCCTGACCTTGAACCTTTCTACACCTTACACGTATGTTCTGCCAACAGAATGATCTGTGCTACATAGAGTGTTGAGAAACTTCAGCTTATTGTCTGGCTTGTTATTCATAAAATGAATATGTTCTAAGAAATTAATTTTCTGTTAAGAATCAGTGAAATACAACAACTTATGAGCTATAGGAGCTGCTCAGTGCTCGGCCTTTCTGTGCAAACAATTGGATAATTGCAGATGAAACCGGTTACTTGAGCCATCTGGATATTTTACTTGAAGAGCATCAAGATCAAATTGGCTAAAGACTGTGTAAGCTCAGGAACTAACTCAGCAGACTGGGCCAAGCAAACTGCTCAGTTTCAGGGTAACCAGAACGGATGATTTCTGTCTTGTTTTTCAAATCATATACAATGATTACACTTTATAGTTTTTTTGTGTGTGAATGTATGTGTGTGCATGTGTGTGTTCCTATATGTGTGCGTGTGTTTGTGTGGGTATGCATTCTTATGTTTGTACATGCATGTAGAGACCAGAGAACAATTTCTTATGCCATTCCTCAGATATGATTCATTATTTCTTTTCAGGCAGGGACTCTGACTGGTCTGGAGCTCAAGTAGGTTAATCTGACCGGCCAGTGAGCCTCGGGGATCTGCCCCCCTGTCCCCCTTGTACTGGGATTATAAACATGCACCACCATGCCTGGCTTTTAAAAAAATATTGGTTTTGTGGGTCAAATTCAGGTCCCAGCTCTTTTCTGACTGGGTCATCTCTCCAGAACCACTATATGGTTTTAGATAACAATTTTCCAAAGAGAAAGGACACAAATCCAAAGTGAGGAAGTCTTCTTGGGAGATCAGTGTATGTTATTAACTGTACAATAATGTTCTTAGGAAAGTGGTCAAGTCATATCAGGAAGTCCAACAGGCTCACCAGACAGAGGCAGGCTAAAATAACCTTCCATTTCTAGACATTATTGCACTTTTTCAAACCACTTGAAATGTGGTCATTCTCTCTGTAAACACCCCCTGGCAGGTAGGGCCGACACCTACCTCATGTAGTGCACACCCGACCCGGGCAGACTCTTCCATAATGCATACAGAATGAAGACATTCTTCACCCAGGTTGAGCAAAACAGTCATTTGGTTTCTTAAGGCCTTCTTTTCTTCTTTCATGTTTTGAAGGGTGGTGTAGACCAGATTTAAAAACAGGGCCCAGGGAAGGAAGGAATCATTTTCCCTAAGTGTTTATGAAGTGAATCACAAATTCATTCAGCATGACTTCTTACCCAGAGAAAGGCAGAATGCTAACAGCTGAAACCCTCCACGTACCTTCAACTTTAGGATCTCCCTGGGAAAGGGTCACAAGGCCAATCATTTTCATCTGTCCCAGCCTGGCTTCCGCCGGTTATGGAAATATCCAGGCAGGGTGAGTGCACTAGACTCTCAACTGGCCTAGACAGGGTTTGGAAAGTCAGGATCTACTTTTCCTAAACCTTCTTAATTTTTCCCATCCCTCCCTGATTGAAAACATCACTTGTCCCATTACAGCATGTGGAAAGAGGAGAGAGAAGCAGACGGATCTGAACTCAGGATGAAAATTTCTTTATGGGGTTATTATTCTCTTCCATAACAGATGACAATATTCATGTCGGCTAGCTGAGTCCAGGACAGAATCACTCAGAGAAATGTAAAGTACCTCTCATACGATTCATCTCAAGGGCCCAATGAGACATATGTACCTACATTTAAAAACTTGTGAGCCATTGCTTGAACGTTTCTTGGAAATGTCTGGACATTTCGATGGAGTCCTGTTACCCATTATTTCACTGGCTACATGTGAAGAATTCCCCTTTCCCTTATACTGTGGCTGGTTCCAAAGATTTTGACTTCCTCTGTTGTCTGAGAACCATCTGGAGGTCTTGGTTCTAAAGAAGCCTGAGGATTTTTGCTAGTCCCCATTTGCTGGCTGACAGCTGCTC